AGGGAGGAGTGGTGGTCTTTGGGGGATTATGTAGGTTTTGTTGAATTTGAAACAGCCCAAAGGGAAGAACTGAGAAATAGTTTTTAAGGCTTTGCAGGAGCCCATCCAGGAATCATAAAAGACTATTGTAACTTGAATGAAAACAAGGAAGCAAAACCAAAGGAGAAAAATGGGGAAATGACAGAATACAACCAGAATCAGATGAAACTCTTTAGATCACAATCCTGTCAAATGATTGCAGCCTTGAAGAGTCTTCTTGATAAGTGGTGGGAAGGGAAGGGTTTCAGAAATAAATAGACACTGAACATAAGCGTGATAGTGTCTGCCATGCTCCTGCCACGATCTTTAGTCCAACTATACCCTAGAAGCCACTCTTTTTTTTTCCTCTCTCAACAAAGTGCCTACTGAGTTAGTTCTTTGCACATTCCTTGTTTCCCCGAAAATAAGACAGTGTCTTATATTAATTTTTTTCTCCCAAAGTTGCGCTAGGTCTTATTTTCAGGGGATGTCTTATCTTTCTATGCGCTAGGTCTTATTTTCGGAGGATGTCTTATTTTTGGAGAAACATGGTAGTAGAATTGTGGTGGGAACTTTTAAAAAATATATACTTTTTAATTGACTTCAAAAAGGAAGGAAGAGGAAGAGAGAGATAGAAATACAAATGATGAGAGAGACATTGATTAGCTGCTTCCAGCATGCCCCCCACGGGGGATCGAGCCTGCAACCTGGGCATATCCCCTTGACCAGTATTGAACTTGGGACCCTTCAGGCTGCAGGCCAATGCTCTATCCACCGAGCCAAACTGGCCAGAAATATAGTGGGAACTTTTTGATGATCTTAACTGTGTTTTCCTAATTTAGGCAACCAAGATGGGCCTTATATAAGTATGGGCTGGAAATCTACAAAGAAGATTCAGTCCATTTAATACAGAATTCTTAAGAAAAACAACAGCAGCAGAAGCAAACCAGTAACAAAACTAGTTCTGAGGCCTGAACCATTTTCCAGTGCATTTTAGGGTTTAGGTGTGGGAGAGCAAGTATGTGCTCACTAGAAATTTAAACTAGGGCACGCGCAGAGCAGTTCTCATTGCCCTTCCTAAGCACCTAGACACTCACCTGCCTTCTAGGCCTGAAGGGATAGATGTTAATTGGCAGTAGTTGGCGTTAGGATGAGTAATATGTGCTAAGGATGGTAGGAGGAGAGTTGAGTGTGCCTTCTATGTCCATCCTCTCAGAGGCTTCCTCTGCTGGGACAACAGAAACCTTTCCTGCTAATTATGAAAGGACTAGCACTACAGATAAGAGTTTCACTTACCAGGCACCCTGCTAGGTGAATAAGATGGAGGTGAAATAGATGTTTTCTGACTTCAAGGAACTTACTCCTGTGATGGTAGTGTGTATCATAGCAACTGGTCGTTTGGCGGGTCAATTTGCATATTACCCTTTCATTACATAGGGTTCTATCATTGTAGGTGGTTAGAATCTGATCATATTTACAACTTCCAGGCCTTGACAACTCCTTGATCTAAGGGATTTTATGAAAGTTATAGATGTATGGTTTCTTTATGGATGATGAGTGAGAAAAATAGTCCTATTCAAAGAGCTAACGTGTTTTCAATAAGCAGGATTTTTAAAAAGTCTATATTTTCTGTAAGATCTTGGTATGGAGGGCCTATTACTTATAAATACTATCAATCTGTAAGTCCTGCTGTTTTACATAAGCCCTAGCTCTTGTGTTTTTAATTACATTAAGGTAAATTGGCAAATTGTAGGTGTTATACTGTATATATATATTTTTTAAAATATATATTTTATTGATTTTTTACAGAGAGGAAGGGAGAGAGATAGAGAGCTAGAAACGTCGATGAGAGAGAAACATCGACCAGTTGCCTCTTGCACACCCCCTGCCGGGGATGTGCCCGCAACCAATGTACATGCCCTTGACTGGAATCAAACCTGACACCTTCCAGTCTGCAGACCGACGCTCTACCACTGAGCCAAACCAGTTTCAGCATAGGTGTTATATTTTAAGAAGAACTTAATAAAGACACCTATAAAGATAAGCCACATCTTAAATACACCATGCAATTCAAAAAGCTATCTATAATAATAAAAGCATAATATGCTAATTAGACTGGATGTCCCTCCAGACGAAGCCGGGGCTGCGAGGGAAGCTGGTGCCAGCAGCCAGGGGAAGGAAGGCCTACTCTTGCATGAATTTCATGCATCAGGCTTCTAGTTTGAATAATAATAGCCAATAGAATAGAATAGAATAGAATAGAATAGAATAGAATAGAATAGAATACAATACAATACAATACAATACAATACAATACAATACAATACAATACAATACAATACAATACAGTAATAGCCAACACAGGGATTTGTTCATTTCTAATCAGTTCTGAACATATATAAAGGGCATCCCCCAAAAAATGCAGACACAGTTTAACAGTTGACAGCTCAGTTTTAAAAATGAAATGTACTCTGATAAACTCTGCCTTTATAATTATTTAAAGTGTGAGAATGCATTTTTGGGGGACATCCTATAAACAACCTCTCTTAATTCTCATGGCAACTCTACATGAGGGGTACTAGCATTAGCCTAATTTTGCAGGGGAGAATGCAGATGCAGAAGGCGTGAGTAGGCTAGGTGGAAAAAGAAATGCTGGGAGGCTGAGTGGGAAGAGAATAGTTCAATGTAGCACCAAGAATGTGGAAAAGAGGAAAACATTTCAGAATCCATAATTAGTGAACTGAGTTTCACTAAAATCTGAAAGGAGAATAAGAAATTCTAATGTACTAAACTGAATGAGGTGAATGAGCATAGAGCAGCACAGACTGAAACCACACAAAGAACATGCGTAAGTTACGGTGCATACATGAGTTAGCCTTGACCTTTGAGGAAAGGTTAAAACTATTTTTAACTTTCTTACATCCTTGATAATTGTCAGGGAAATAAAAACAGTGATGTGTAGGAAAGACAATCCAGAAAAGTCAGCAATGTCCTTCATATAATACACCAAAAGAAATACAGTTTTGCTCTATATTTATGATACTAAATCCTGAAATAAAAATATATCATTGAAATGAGAAATAAGATTTCATTTAAATATCATTAAAATGTTTCTGATCTTCAGGAGTCGACTCAGTTTTCATCTCCATGCTCAATGGTTGGTGTCATGTACATCTGTGCAAATATCATTATTGAAAATTTATAACTGAATACATTTTTCTAACATAGGCAGGAGAGTAAAAATTATACTAAAACAGCTGTTTTTTTCCCATTTAATAAAACTTCAGAATAAAAGACATTTTTTATTTATTTATTTTTTTAATTTATTTTATTTTATTTTATTTTATTTTTAAGTATATTTTATTGATTTTGTACAGAGAGGAAGGGAGAGAGATAGAAACATCGATGAGAGAGAGTCATTGATCAGCCACCTCTTGCACACTCCCCACTGGGGATATGCCTGCAACCAAGGTACATGCCCTTGACCGGAATCGAACCTGGGACCCTTCAGTCCCCAAGCCGACGCTCTATCCATTGAGCCAAACCGGTCCTGGCAAAAGCCATTTTTTAAATGTACAAAAGAAACTCTCCTAATGAAAAATATATGGCCCGATATTATAAATCGTGCATTTTAGAGTAAGTATTTCAGAGTTTGGCCGCCTGGTTTGAGTCATAGTTCTATCAGCCTTCTAGTTTAGTCCAAGTTCTGGTGGACACATTAATTGAACTCTTTCCTCAATTAAAAAAAAAAAAAAAAAAAAAAAAGGAGCACCAAGAAAACCTACTTCATAAAGCTGTTGTAAGAATTTAAAAAAAAAAAAAAAAAAGCCTGTAAAGCTCTGCCTGTTACATGGGAGGGACTCAGTGTTAGCTGTTATTTTCATTACATGTCATTATATAAGCATTTCACCATATAAGCATTTACTATTTATGCATAAACTATACTAAAGAGAGAACTAGAAACTCAATTTTTCTGAAGATTTCTAAATCCACTGGAAAAAGGGATTTAGACCTGACCAGCCATTTTAGTGATTACTTTTTAAAAATTTCTATAACATTTTATCTAAAGACTAAAAGAGAATCACCAGCCTGGTGGACACATACCCATATGGATCTTCACAGAGTTATGTGGGTATACTCTCATGAAAGACAAAACATCTGATATGTGATTATTTCTAATTTGGTACCCATGGGGTTTTCCCAATGCAAAGAAATAAGCCCAAGGAAACTATAAAAAGCAACAGCCCATAGTTAAAACAACAAGCAAACTGATCAGTAAATACCAACGCATTCACCTGCAACTGAGACCAGTCACATCTGAGTGTCTGTGCCACTCCCAGAGCATTTAAAAAAAAAAATGCTTGCATCAATACAGTGCTTTTTTTTTTTCATATAAAGGTTTATTAGGTGGAGCATGTTAAGGCTATAGTTAACAGAGCAAATTCAAAAGGCTACCTAAAAATAAAAAATAATATTTCATTTAAATATCATAAGAATGTTTCTAATCTTCAGAAGCACAGTTTCCTTTCAGTTTTAATCTCAATGTTTGAGATGTAAACTGGTCTAGAGCTTAGCATCTTGCAAATGTTGTCTGGATGGACAAAATCAAGGCAAGCTTTCAATTTTCTGTTCTCACACTTCATCATTCTTTCCTCCACATCTTACACTTCTATTCCACTTTCCCTCCGTTTAGCTTCAATTTTATGGTGTCCGGTGGATAAAGTTTAGATTTCTAAATCTGACACGTTAAGCTGTTTAGAAACAAGATAACATGTAACACTCATGTAGCAATTAAATGCATCATTTGCCAACGTAGCACCTAAAATGTTTACTCTTGAATGAGGTCATCAGATACCATCTAGCCCTTATATCTCACTTTCTTTTCATAAGCCAGGGAGAAAATCTCCAGACCTTAATTTAGAATACGATTTTATGCACATTTCCTACGGGCTAGAAACATACAGACTGAGGTGAGTACTTACTTTTGATCAATAAAAAGAGGATCAAAGAACTCCGTTGTGATTTTGTTTGCATACAGGGAACAACCGGTCATTGAGCATAACCCTAGAATGTACCAGAGGGAAAGGACCGTGGTTAGCGAGTGCTATTTCATTAACAGGGTGAAAGTATGTTGTTTGGGAGAAAGTTACTATTTACCTGACAGTATGAATACAACCCCAGCCAAACAAGCAGTTTTAGCTTTGGCTTTCTCCGAGCCTCCGACTTTGGTACACTTCATTCCAAACAGGGCAATTATGGAACCAAAAAACCCGAGGCTGACAGCGGCAATCATAAGTCCTCTACATGCCTGGATGTAACCTGCAATTAGAGTAGGTCATTTACATGTTAACATAAAACAGATGGCTGTCCAGGGAGAAATCCTTATTCTACATTGTACTCCTGAATGATTGTTTTGTTTGTTTATTGTTGTTGTTGTTTTTTAAAGAAAGTAAATAAATAACCTTAGTTGTTAAAACATGGGGTAAGACAAGCAGGAAAGGAAAACAACTTATCTTATATGGAGTGCCTGTTCTTGTTCTATGTCACACAGTTTTAAGCTCAGTTTATGCATAATCTTCAGAATCGTTCCCTGGGTGCTATTATTCTCATAGGAGGAAACTGAGGAAGGCAAAGTTTTGATGATATGCCAGAGGTAATTAGTAAGAGGCAGAAATGGATTCCATACCATTGATATGACTCTAAAACCCAGGTGATACTGACTTCCACGGTGTAAACTATCACCTGCCACTTCTTGAGCCTCTTACTCCTGTGTATTGATACATTGGACCTTTTAAACAGATGTCTGAATGGTTCAGACTTTATAAAATTTGTCATTGGGCAACAAGATCTCTCCATGGGTAAAATCTTCCAATATCAGTGAAAGCTTGGAAATGAGAGCAACTAAAATATAATCACAAGCCACGAGGAGTCTAAATTAAGAATTATTTTAATGGGCCCTGGCTGGTTTGGCTCAGTGGATAGAGTGTCTGCCTGCAGACTCAGGGGTCTCAGGTTCGATTCTAGTCAGGGGCATGTACCTTGGTTGCGGGCACATCCCCAGGAGGGGGTGTGAAGGAGGCAGCTGATTGTTGTTTCCCGGTCATCAGTGTTTCTGGCTCTCTCTCCCTCTCCTTTCCTCTCTGTGAAAATTCAATAAAATATATTTTTAAAAAAGAATTTTTTAATGGCACATATTATTTTTCAGGGCACAGTGGTTTAAAAAAAACACTGTCTATTTACAGCAAGAATAGCTTATAATTATTAAATTAACTGATTACATATAAATGGATGCTTTCAAAGCAATCCTAACAGCTTGTTCTATTGGTTGGTTTGATCATTCTTCCTACAACGTTTATTTCCTTAGTCACATATTTTTATTTGCATAGCCATGGTTGTGATAAACTTTAGCCTGGCTTTCATCCAGACACTAAGAAATGTCAAATTAACAGGATTTAAACGAATAAGCTTGTCCATATATGGACATTTTCATTTCAGCCTGGAAAAAAAAAATGCCCTATTTCAGGCTGAAACAGTGATGGCCTATACTAGGTGTAAGTACATATTTGTTAAGCAAATGAACATACATGTACTTTAGGTTTACATTTGGAATTAAACTTGTTAATCTGAAAAACCTTGTTAATGTCCAGAGACTGAACGTTACTTATTGTGTGTCCTCAGACAAAAGCTATAATGAGCAATATTTCTTAGACTACGAGAATTATAAACTCAGAAAATAATGCTGGCAGGTGGCCTCCAGTCCATGTTTCTTTGGGAAAGAATTGAAATTTTAAGTTCTAATCCTATTCCTATGGCCCATTTTAAAGAGTTTACAGAAGATGTTCTATTTAATTGAACAAATTTAGGATCCCATATATTCAGAGGGAGATGACAATTATCTTCTATTTTGTAGCATGAACTACTTCCAAACAAAATCATTTCACTGATAATGGTGAGACCATCAGAAACAGCAACAGAAACATTTTTAGCAAAAAGGGATAATGGAGGCTTGTTCTGGTAGCAATGATCATGCTGCAGGGCTCTCTGGGGGACTGTTGCCCAGTGTTGACCTAGCTCTATTTTAAACTTCAATCCTCAGGTCCCTCTACCAGAGCCCAGGGGCAGGTAGAAAGAAGCCCAGCTAAAGAGAAGCCTGTTAGTTCCTTGCAAGATTAAAGAGAGTCTACCAGAACCACAACTGCCTCATCACGTATCACCAGGGCTCCTGGGACAGTGTGTGGGTTCTTTATAGCTTTATTTTACTCTACAGTTTTGAGGTGTTTTAGCTGACTCTTCACTGAAACCACTAAACGGACAAAAACAGCGTGCGTATGATGTAACCTCAATAATATATGTGTAAAAAAACAAGTACTCTACAAAACTTTACCATGAACCCTTAATTTGCATTTACTTCAATAGCCTTACAGGCTTTATGAATAGAGAATGCAGGAACCTGGCAAAAGGTTAAGTCCTACAGTCCGACCATTTAGACCACAAAATGCATTTTCCCAGATGGGGAGCAGTGGTTAGAACCCCATGCTGATAAATTCAGTTCTTAATGTGACTGGGGAAATAATAGCAGCCTTTAAACTTTACTTAACCACTACTCATACCCTTTTGTCCTGAGTTTCTCCCTCGGGTCTCCCACCTCGGCCCTTGGCACATGTTTGGGAGGAGAGATGGGAAAGCAAGGTTCAGATGGGATCAGGTCCTTTCCCAATACCACTCAAAACCCTGATTTGAGGGCAAGGCACCTCTCTCTGGAGGGAAAAGAATACCAATAAATAAATTACTAATTTGTCGCATCCACAAACAAGGCACTTTACCAGCATGATCACTGGCTAGATTTTCTAACATGGGGAGCAAAGAGTAGGGATTGGAATTCTTAGGAATAGTGCCCCTGCCAGCTGTAAATGCAATCCAGTTGCTGATAAGCCTGAGCTTTGTGAATTAGGGGCTACCAGTCCTTAAAACACCCACAGACTCAGGCCTTAGGCAACTGCCAACAAACTCAGAATTTATCTTTTGCAAGGCAGACCTCTACAACTTTGCTTTCAAACAGTTCCTCGGGGCAAAACTTATAAGTAAAACCATCAAGTGAAGTGGTGGTAAAAACTAGTCAAGGAGGCCATTATTTTTGACAGGTCTAATTTACTGACACCGTTAATAGCTAATTAACACATTAAGGTGCTGAAGCATGAACATATTTACTTAGGAGTTCTCTGAAGTATAATTTATAGTTAATTCTCTTGTAAGAAATGGCAAACATTCCCACTAACAAAAATAGATGGCATATACTAAAAAAACAACCTGCCTGAAAATTATTCTCAGCTAAAGTTCAAGTGGTGTTTTGAAAGGAACATGGATTAGCAATAAACAGAAATTACTAGCTTATTCAACTGTGACATTTTTAATTAGTAAAATGTAGTGGCCTTAATGAATTCTGTTAAAGGAAACCTTCAAGGTGTCCCTTACCTAAAAGTTAAGTGTTTTGCCCTGGCCAGGTGGCTCAGTTGGTTGGAGCGTTGGCCCGTATACCATAAGGTTGCAGATTCAATTCCCGGCCAAGAAGAGCACTGGAGGTAAACAATTGATTGTCTATCTCTCTCCTCCACCTCCTCCTCCCTTCCTCTCTCTCAAATCAATTTAAAATAAATGTATATCCTCAGGCGATGATAAAGAAAAAAAGTTAAGAGTTTTCCAACTGATGTGTACCTTATTTTCCATTGCAAACTAACAAAAATGAAAATAGCCACTTGGTGGAGACAATTTCCTAGTAGCACACATGCTAATATTAAAGGGAGAAGAAAAAAATGAGCTTTTCTTATGCTAGTGACTTTGGCTTTTTTTTTTTTCCCCCCAAATACTTTGAAAGAATATCGGTACGAGGAGAAGGCATGAACTTTGAATTTTAGCTCTGGTTCTTCTATTTACCCACTGTATGCCCTTGATTATGTTAGCTAATCTCTCAGCCTCTGTTTTCTCATCTGTAAAATAGGACAAGAGCTTTTATTTCGCAGGATGAATAAAATTAACAAAGTGTCTGATGAGAGGGATAAGAAATTCATGGAAGCTTCCCTTCCATAATACTAAGATTGATTCTAAGCAGAAATTAGGGTTGGGGTCTTAATATATTTTATTGATTTTTTAAAAATATATATTCTATTGATTTTTGTACAGAGAGGAAGGGAGATAGAGAGTCAGAAACATCGATGAGAGAGAATCATCGATCAGCTGCCTCTTGCACACCCCCCACTGGGGATATGCCCACAACCAAGGCACATGCCCTTGACCGGAATCGAACCCGGGACCTTTCAGTCCCCAAGCCGATGCTCTATCCACTGAGCCAAACCGGTTTTGGCTTTATTGATTTTTTTTTTTTAACAGAGAGGAAAGGAGAGGGATAGAGAGTTAGAAGCATCAATGAGAGAGAACCATTGATCAGCTGCCGCCTGCACACCCTCCACTGGCGATGTGCCCACAACCAAGGTACATGCCCTTGACCAGAATCGAACCTGGGACCCTTCAGGCCTCAGGCTGACTCTCTATGCACTGAGCCAAACTGGTTAGGGCTAGTGTTGGGTTCTTAATATGGCATAACACTAACTCTAGACATTTAGCTTTTACTCAGCCTCATTTTCCTTACAGAGAAAATTGGGGTGATACGATACCACCTGACGATGAGGAATCAGAGCTTTGACCTCCCATAGGAAATTCAGAATAATGACTCCATCATCTGCTTCCAAGAGGTTTGTTCTTCCATCTAAGACTAGACGAGAGAACCACGAGCTTTCTCTCCCCTTTCTTGGCTTTTCTTCTCAATCCAGACCTCATGCCTGCTCAGGCCTGTGGCCCCCAGAGCCCATGGTACCGTAACTTTCTCCCGTCCCTGCAAAAGCATTGTGAGGAAGTCCACACGCTGCATGCTGTCAGCAGGACCTGCCTCAGGATCAGCATCCAACAGATACGGCTGCCCAGAGACTGATGTTCTCGCCCACAATGTTGTTGTTGTTGTTGTTGTTGTTTTTCTCTCTCTCCCTTCCTCTCTCTCAAATCAATTGAAAGTAAACACATATCCTCAGGTGAGGATTAAGAAAAAAAGTTAAGTGTTTCCCAAATGATGTGTACCTTATTTTCCATTGCAAACTAGCGAAAATGAAAACAGCCACTTGGTGGAGACAGTCAAGGGGGCTGCTTTGAAAAGTTCCACTGGTAAATGGGGCAATCAACTCCTCTTGCTATGAAACTGTCGCAGTGTCACTGAATCCCCACATGCTATTCCGGGAGATACAGATAAGTAAATCTGTCACTTTGGCGGAGCC